TAGTAGCCGTATAAACTCAAGCAATTATCCTCGCTCAAGTTTCTGATTTTCAACACACTGACCTAAGCCAAAAATTTACTTCTCCATCTAACCTTTGGTAAAAATATAAACGCTATTTATCTTTATTGTAGTCCGGTCAGTCAGTTCTTGCTCTGGAGCGTACGGCATCAACAAATGCGTAATAGTCAAGCGATTTAGATGCTCGATGTGTTTCTTTCTTAATCATCTGCGCTCCCGTCTTTGTATATTTTGTTTCATTAACACAGAAACCTTGTTTGACATTTCTTCACAAAGAAACACGATTAATAACAGCATATCTCGAACACTCTTAGCGCCACTTCAAAATTTTCAAAAAGAAAATTGTTTGAGCGCCTAATAAGAGATCTAGTCTATTTGGTTTGTGACCTAAACTCCAGAGCTAACAAAGGTTTTACAAAGTGAGTGATTCTGCAATAAGGCTTATAAGGTTATAAAGGATTTTAACAAGTATGTTAGAAGAATTATTTTGAGCAAAAAACAAGATACGAAATAGCCATTGAATCACTAAACCAATTCCGCTGCGAATATTTGCTTGTTTGTGCACAAATGAAGTAGATTGGTAGATTATGAAATTACCATTTGGATGTCATCGGAAAAAACTTTACTTGGAAATTAGCTTGAAAAAGTTACGAGTTACAAGGGTACTATACTTAGGGACTTCTGCTATAATAGACATGCCACTGATTTCAAAATTGCTTCCCTTATCTGTAAAACAATTGTTTGGAAGCAGTTGTGGAAGTTTTTTCTCGCGGTGTGTACAAGTTGTTGATAATTGCTTTTCCCAAAAAGCAAAATCTAATTTTGGTTGTAAAGCTTACAGTACTTGAGCAAAAAGTAAGGTTTAAATTGCGTGTTCTGAGACGCTTCTAGCAATATTCCTTTTTTTTTCAAAAGCTTAGGTCACTAAGTATCCCCCTCATGTTGATCGGATACAAACTTCCTTTATCGTACAGGAAGCATATGGAAAGAAGGTCAAAAGAGCAGTCCCGCGTAAATGTGAGCGGCAAATTACCGCGAAAATGTGGCGCCAACAAGTCTTTATAAGAATAGCAGTCAAGTGATAACTATTGAGTGTACGGATGAAAACACCTTGAACGAAGTATTTAACATGTGGAAATCTTTTCTAAGAAGAAAAAGATGCAGATAAAGTGAAAGTATTGCACCTTTCCCAAAAAAAAAGAAACGAGTTGAGCAGTGGATGGTTACACATCAAAAACCAATACAAACATGGTCTATCCCAGGACAACGCCTCTGGATACGCACAAGCCAATTGACCTGCATTTTGGGATACCGTTAATGATCTTGAGGTACTACATTGTAATTAGTAATGTGGGAACAGCAAGGTGTTCACGTTGTACTAATATCATAGCACACTTTAGAAGGTTTACGCTGTCTGATCTTAAAAAATAGGAAAATCCACCCTTTATCGTCGTGATGCTTGAACAGTGCGTTGATTCAACTCTTTGACCACAGAAAAATCGTTTCACAATTTTTTTCAATGGCAGTTGATGTGAAAAAATACGAATTGTCCTGAAGGTAACTAAAAATCTAAGGTTGACCTTCCAAACACTGTAAAAATAGTGACTATCTATAGGGTAGGCATAGCGCATATAACAATTTTGCTGTTAAAGAGAACAAGAAGAGACAAAAGAAAAGAGAACAGATTTCTAGATGATGGAAAAAGGAAGACACAAGAATTTTCGAAAAGCAATAGATTATCAAAAAAAGCTTCTGCCGTGGCAGTTAGCTTATTCAACGTGCTAATGACAAAATCAAAAGCTACTCTTCCTATAGGAGGTTTGATGTGCAGAAGGTTTTTAAAGTTTTTTTTTGAAAAAAATCAGCTCAGTAATATTAGTACAATTTAATAATAATGATTTTAAATAACTTATCTGCTCATGAATTTTCCAAATTCTCAAACCATCTCTATTGCTTTTAAGTTGCAAATTACCACAGTATCTTACCAAATCATCTATGTAACTTTTTTTTTGCTTGGAAATTTTCAAACTTGTTCGATTTGCTTCAAGTCTGAAATGAGTACAACCAAAGATGGTAGCGTTCAGTAACCGTCCACAACAAACGCTAATTTTCGATCTTTATTATCTTCAAGACAAACCCGGTAAGCTGTACAGAAAACCGATATGTACGAGATCACTGTTTCCAATATCAGAATGGAGTTGTACGAGATGCGAGCGTAAAAGCAAAGAGATGTATGAGAGCAAAGCACAATAATTCTGTCTCTATGTACAAGCTACTATTCAATAAACATTAAGGGCAAGGGAAAAACAATAATGTCTTAGCATGTTATGCAATAGTAATTGAAAAAGAACGGCAACGATTTAAGGGAAAGGTGGAATATTCGAGCATTGCTCAAATCCGATGGGGCTCTGGTAAGGCATAATGATTCTAGAGCCCCATTAGCAATAGGGGCAATAAGCGTATACAATGAAAGTTGCAAACTTTTGAGAACACTTAGATTTAACGCCTTTCATTGTCACCCCGATTGGGGCATCCATTGACGAGCCGACCGCTTGCTTTCCTTTTCCACTCATCCATATAGCCACACTTCATACCATCAACCTGTGGATATATCAAAAGAGTGTCTGAGAGTTATGGCTTGGGAAATCGAGTTTAGCTGAAATATACCGAAGGAGTTGATTATATGTACTCACCACATAGCTAATGAGCGTTATCCAAGCTTTTGCTGATTCCCTTTTCGATCGAACACAGTCCATTTTTGTGATCACCTCTGCTAAACACTCTCCCAACTGATCCCATAATGAACCGCAACATTTCTCATTCATGTTCACATGTGAACCACCGATATCCATGCAGCGAGCCTGAGAGCAAGTTAATTTACAATGATTTCTTCTGAGATAAGTTTGGGACAACTATCAAATTAGTGAAGAATCTGTTCTACCGCTAGTGTTTCCTTCTCAATCCATTAGCTCCATAGTCAGAATTCACGTTTCCATAAATTTTATTTACAAACTACATTGCTAGGAAATTAGTGGAAAACCAGATGCACATAGTTTGATAAAGTGTTTCACGAGAAATTGAAAATACTGAAAATTCACGAAATTCCTAACAGTAAAACAGTAGTGGGGGCAAAAAATCGTGGTTCGCTTGTTTTTCTTCTCGTAATCCGCGGTTATAGTGGATACTAAACTAATAATTTCCGGATTAAAAATTATTGGCAGCCGTTTTTTTATTTAATGCATCCAGTTCTCGCATTATCACACATACGAAGTTTATTGATTTTTTCCCCATCAATATAATCTGTTGGTAGACATGCATACAGAAACCGTTTCTGAATATGGGCCTTCAACTCAATTCCGTTGTCAGTTCGAAAACATTTTCACCGCGTTTCCAACAATTATTCAAGAAGTTGCATCTAACAGGGAAAGACTAGCGAATATTCTGCTTTTGATTTCTTTTAATGTTACTTAAATTTAACGAACAGCCACATTGTTTTGCATGTAACTAATGGAATGGAATCGAATGTTCCGTCGCTCTAACTGTCTTGGCAGAGCAGAAATAAAAAAATCCTAAGCTTT